TGCTGCGGGGCCTGAACGAACGTGATGCTGCAGGGCTGCTGCGCTTCTGAGCTCAGAAATCAGGGATTTTTGGGTGTTCATCCCGTACAACTGCGCTATGCTTACACTTGGGAGCCTGTCAGAGGACGCACGGGGGGGATCCCTGGAAAGGATGAGATAAATCTGACAAGGAGGAGGGTTGTGCTGAAGCTTTTGCTCGGGTTGTCTAGGCTTCTCGGGGGGTGGCATGCAGAAGCCGGTGAGATTTGGAGAGGGATGGGATGCAGGGATGCCTGATACTGTACGGGAGAGGGTGGTCAGGGAAGTGGCAGGCTCCTTGAAGATCTGACTGCCAGGCATAAACTGCCAACCTTTTTGTCTCTTTCTTAGCTAATGTCTTGAGTGTATTTTGCAGTGAAAGTGTACCAAAATGGGTCCATGAAGTCATTCGGCCGATAGCAGCAGAATTGGAGTTCTTTATGCCGCAGCCCTTCGTGGGGGAAATCGTGGGGCTGTGCAAAGCGCTGGGAATAAGTCTTGGAGATGGACTCCTGCTTAACTTCGCCTATGAATCTACCGCGTAAGTGTCTGGTACTTACAGAATCTGGTGGAAAAGGATGTAGAGAGTCATTTTAGTTCAGCGTGGGAGAAGGCACAAAAAGGCACGTGAAGACACTTGGCAGATGATTCGCGCTGTTTGTTCTCAAACCTTCAGCTGGAAGGGTTCATTCTCATTAGGCAGTTTGTATCCTGAATTGAATGAGAAACACAGAGCAGTATTTTTGTTAATAAAGGTAACATGTAGCCGCAATGTTTTTGTGTCTATATCTGTATGAATGTAAAAGTATGACAATCATTTCTGATAATACAGGAGGGCCATCCATTCAAAGTGTTTGGGTTCATTTATCTTCAAAGATCACATAATGTACTCTTGCCATTTCAATTGTTGTATTGCACCAAAAAGGAAACTAGAAGAATTAGTTGCAATTGAATTATTTTAACCATTCAACTGAAAGTTGCTTCCAAACCATTTTCTGGATTTATGTTCACAATGACTGTATAATGTAATTTTTTTGATTTGCACAATGGAAAATGGATGTAGCATCTTTATGACAGCAAACAAAACCTCAGTGGAAAAAATATGCAGTTTCATTGTCGTCTTTTTTTTTAACTCCCCCCAGAAGCATGTGCAGGAGAATAATAAACACTTGCTGTTGTCTGTGACGATCCTAAAAATATTTCTCTGTATAGATTTTAATAAAAAACAGGTTCATACGGTTACTTGTATACATTTGGATTATTGTTTTTCTCAAGGTATGGTATTTGGTTAAAGTGATTTTTTTTTTAGTAAGGATTAATATTGGATAAGAATCATTTAAATGCTAGCTTTCTTAGTATTTCAGAGGACACTTACCACTCTTAGCCTTAGTAAGGCCTGTGAAATGTTAAGTTACTCAGCTCTAAAGATACTAAATAGAAAAGGTAAATGAGGAACTAACCAGTTGTCTACAAAATTTTCACCTTTTCAGTTTTGAAAGACAGTGCTTTGCATCACTGGGATGACAGACTTCTAACTCCAGAGAAAATAAATTGTTAATTCTCTGCTAATTCAGTATACTTCATAAAAAAAGCCTGTTTCAAAAAACTGAGTATGTTGTTAAAAAATGAATTTCAGCACACTTCCTGTTCTAGAAGAGGTTATACTGTGGTTGAAATGGCTGACACTTTAACAGCAACTGATGTTTGACTTTGTTTGAACTTTTTATCTAGTTGTGATTAAAAATATGCAGGGTCCAAACTGAAATGAAATAATCTATAATTGCCAAAATGAAATCTACAAAGTTTCAGACTGATAACTTTGTGGACGTTTTTAGATGTCAGCTTTTCAGCTTGATTTAGAAAAGAAGTAAAATGAAGTGTTTCCCAAGTGGAAATGCTGCTTCTACCTGGGCTGTGATACCTGTCCCAATGCGGACAGTAGCGTGGCTTTGGACTTTCTGAGCTGGGTGGGACCTGTTAAGTTAGGTGTTGCACAGTTTGGTATGAGCCTCTGTGGGAGGGGGCTTTCCCTTCGGGATATGGTGCGGTAGTCATAGAGGGCATTGTAGTGCTGTGTGGTTATGCAGAGCTTCACTCAAACCGTTCTGTCCCTTTTGTTTTTCTGACTCATCAAGATTAAAACCTGTAAGAAATTTTGTCAAGAAGTACAGGATGCGACTGTTCTCTCGGGTTGGGAAGCGTGTTACTGATATAATGCAAACTGCTATTTGTAAGTTTGTGGTAAAATACTTTGCAGACGGTAAACTCGGTTACGCCTCCTGAAATGTCAAGCTAGTTCAACTACAATATTGAAAGCATTGTCATTGAATTTTCTTAAATCTTTCTTTCTCCTTTTTGTTTTTGAAGGTTCTGTACTAGTATCGTTGCTCAGGATGACAAAGGAAACATTTACCATGGTCGGAACCTGGATTATGGTTTTGTCGATATATTAAGCAAGATTACAATTGATGTGAGGTTTATAAAGAATGGGCAGGTACGGGCTGAGGATGACGTAGCCGGGTGGTACTCTGTGAAAGAACGGGGAATGGTTGTACAGCTGCATGGGCAGTGCGATTTAATGTAGGGATGTGGTTCCCGTCCCGAGTGTATTGGATTATTAGAACACCACAGTCACACTCTGGGAATGTGGGATGAATGCTGGTTTTCTCTGCGTTCTGCACGCTTCATTTGTGGTGATCAACTGGAACAAACAGAACAGAAGACACTAGTATCTCAAGATTGTTATTTGGAAGGAGATCTTGAAAGAAGGAAATACCAAGATACTTAAGAGAAGAAATACTAGAGAATATAGAAAAGAGATCACTTTTGGCAGGGACCAATTCTAAGGCTTTTTTTCTAAGGCCTTGTTAATTTTCATGACCAACGTGTATGTGTTAGATGAAAACTGTCGCTAGGGCAGTCCTTGTTAGTGTGATTTTCTTCATGTTCACTAGTCCGTTTTGCAAATGGAGAACTTTTTGTTTCTGTCTTGGCCACTTGCTAACTTGACCAAAACTTTTGTAGCAGTCAGCGATAGTTAGCAAATGAAATACAGTGAATTTTGGTCCTCGGAGTCTTTTTATAAATTACTTTGCAAGCTTTACTGTAATCCAAGGCTAAGTGTTTTATAGTGACTTATGTATGAAAGGCACAGAAAAAAGTACAGGATGCTGCTTCGGAATGTTGCCTGTATTTGAAGTAGTGTTCTGTTCCAGAATACTAAAATACTGCGTGTTTTCTGGTTTCAGGTAGCGTATCAAGGCACCACGTTTTTTGGTTACGTTGGCTTATGGACTGGACAAAGTCCACACAAGTTCACAATCTCTGGTGATGAACGAGGTAATATAAATCTGGCTTCCACGCTTGACGTTATGTATACCATTTTAGTTGATTGTTGCCTACTCTGCCCCTTCCCTCCTGTTCTAGAGGGAGAAATATGATTAAGGTTGCCAGGAAGGAGCTGAAGTTGGGTAACTTCTGTGGCCCTCAGGGAGTGAAAGGACACATGCTGCCAGTTTTTGGCTGCCGCATAGGAGAGAGGCATGTTAGTCAGCACAGTGTCATCTGAGCTTGAAAACTGCCAGAGGAGACTGAGAACCTTGGGGAAGGCTGTAAAACACAAATTAATGTGGTCTGTTCAAGAGGCATAACTGGAGATGGCAGAATAGGGGCTGAGAGAAGAAGATGCAGTCGTGTATAGCAAATAAATGGCTGCTTGCCTAGTTCTCTGTCCCTTCCTCTCTATTCCCTATTTCTGTGTGCCCATAGGGCAGCTTGAAAGAGAGGATGGAAAGAGAAGCCTAAGAGTGAGAGATCTAGGGGAAAGGCAGCAGGGCTTGAGAGGATGCACAGAGGTCCTGAAAAGGCAGCTGAGGAAAGATCCGGTAGTAGAGGAAAGTTGAGGGATGTCACTACCAAGAACTAAAACTGGACAATTAGGAAGGCAGAGGAAGGGTCACTGCCTTTTCCATCAGTGCTGGAGTTTCACAAATACTGATAGGTATGTCCAGCTCGGAGCTTGGGTGTGCCTCTTCCATCTGTTCCCCCCTTCTTTTTTCTTTTTTTTCCCCTAAGAAGCAGACACTTTTTGCTTTCCTTTATTAGCTGTTTGTTAGAACTGGGAACAATGTAGTCAGAGTTAGAACCGACATCTAAAATAAATGTTTATTTTTCACTTGTGATTGTGGTAAGCAATTTTTCTTTTATTTCTAATATTTTCTTTTAATTAGACAATCTTCTGTTTTCAGAATCTGATGTTACACAAACACTGTTCACTCTGTACGTTATGTACATATTCATTATGAGTAGGGATTCTGCTATGGAGCGCATGCACCTTTTGATTCCTGTTTCCGTTGTTGATACTGCCTTGTTGCAGTCACTAGATTCTTTCCATAGTTTGTGCTCTTTTTTTTTTTTAAGCGCCTGCTTCTGATGCTAATGTAGTTATTTAATCCTTTCAAAACTGGAGTGTCCTGGGCTGATACTGAGAGATGCAGACTGCTTTTAGTTCATGCTAACGTCAGCTTGGAAATAAAGTCTTAAGTGTATTGAGTCTGTGCAAAAGCTTGATTTAGAAAATTGTGTGGACACAAGTCCTGTGTCTGTGAACAGGCACAATGTGGGCACAAAACCAGTGCCGTCCTGTTCTCCCTGCTGTTTCTCAGCATTGTTCTTCAACCCTTACTATAAGGATCATCTGAGACAACAGTGAGGTGGTTTAGTCCGTGCACAAACCCATCCTGTTCTCCCCATTCCGATAGAGGAATCAAGTGCTGCAAACACACGTGTGCGGTGGGCCCCTCTTGTCCGTCAGGAGCTGATGCGCTGTCACACGCTTGTGTGCCTCAATTTCAGTTGCTTTTTAAGTACAGGCAACAGTCATTCACTCAACACACGCTGTGCACCTGTAAAGCTGTTGTTGCTGACGCTTGCTGCTTTATCTGTCGCTGTACAACTGAACTAAAAATTGAGGGAAATGACCATGTGAACTGCAGCTGGAAAGACGTATGACTTGAAATTAGGGTGAAGTTCTACCAAGTGACAAGCATATTGTTCCTGCTGGCTTCTTCTGGTTTTGGCATATGAATAGTCATAAACTTGATGTTCTGTTTTTCTTAGTTCTCCTAATTTTCTCTAGTAACACAGAAAGACCATCACTACCTCTTTTTTTTAGCTGTTTCATGTTTTTTCTTCCTGTTGTTGGAATATTTCAGTAAGATGAATAATGAGGTGATTAATGCTAACATTGAAGCTGACAGATGTAGACTACTAGATCATATGAATAGACCCGCAATCCTTTTAGAAATGTGTTACAAAGTGCTAGTCCCTATTACAGTCACCTTTGACTTCATTGCTTATCATTCAGCTATGAATAAAAGCGGTTTAAAAAAGGAGCAGCTAGCCAGTTATTAATACTGAAAGGAATGTGAGAGTGTTTGATGGAAATTGCTAGCGCTGGCAAGTTCTGAGAGATGCTGTGTATTCTCTGTACAGTGCTGAACAGTGTCTGCTTTAAGAAGACACCTTTAAAGGCTTCGTCTTTGCTGTCCACTGTCCTTCAGGCTCCCTTCCGTTCTATGGCACCCTTTTAGGGCACTGGTCACAGGAATATTCTGCCTTTCAGAAGACACCAAACAGCTAAGATAATGATCAATCCTGTCATTACAGGTCTGAGATGATTTCTGGAAAGCAGGGGTGTTAATCCAGCTGCCATGGTTGAACTTCAGTTGGGATTATGTTCTCTATTGATATTTTACCTGTAGTTTCACTGGGATGTTATGCTCTTGGTTAGCCCTTCTGCTGAAGTGTTGATATTTCATGCTGATAGGTAGCTGCCCTGAGGATTTAGCTTTGTGTGGTACTTCAGTATCCAAATCTAATGATACAGAAAGCTGAGATTTGAAAGGCAGATTTTGAAAACTGAGGGCTTGCCAAGGTATGCTAGCCTGGTTATGCAGCACATCCTGCATATTTGGTGTATAGGTATCAGTAAAGTACTGCAGTAGAAAAGGAGCACCTTCACCGTGCAGTGTTCTAAAGAGTGTTGATAAGCTCAAGATGGGACAGAGGCTCCAGCTGCTTTCAGGTGTGTGCGCTTTGTCAGTTTGGTATAAACCACCTAAATTTGATGGTTTTATGATGGTGGTATAGTTAAAGAATTAAAGTATTTATTGCACCGCTCTTAAGTGCAGTAGGGGGAAAGATTGCAGAGCTAGAGATGGGACATGGGGAAGAAAGGAAACAAGTTTTCAGAGCATACATAACATGCGCGTGTAGTAATTTCTTTTCTGTCTGTTTAGTTTTTTCTTTTTTTTCCACAGAGGGTGGTAGATGGTGGGAAAATGCAATAGCTGCTTTTCTGAATCGGAATTACCCTGTCAGCTGGCTTGTCAGAGACGTAAGTGCACTGAGTTATTTTCTCAGTTTCACAGTGATGTTGTTTGTACTTGCAAACTCCTAGTACATTTGATTTTCCAACTTTTAGATTCACAGAAAAGTCAATAAATTGATAAGTAAATGCATTGTATGAGAGCAGATAGGTATTGTCCCCAAATTGTCAGTGCTGTGAGAGAGGCAATTCCAGCCCTTCGGGGGGGCAATCTCTAATCACTGCCAAAAGCCTTGGAGAAGCTGTGCAAAGACTTCCTTCCTAGGGACTATTTCAGCTAGAGGAGCTTTGTAATTTAACAAACTGAGACAGCTGCACTCTTAAATGGTTACGATCTGACCCAGCGGTTATTTTACACTACATGTGATATGTTACCATATTAAGTGAGCAGAAGGAGTTAAAACTGTTATTTTGTATAGCACATCTTCTGAATACTGTGTTAGGGTACTACTAAGATAAAACAGATCTGCTGCTTCTCAGATTCTTGAATTACAGTAAGCGTGAACGATATGGTTTGTAGGTGAACTCCCTGCAGAACTGGAATGTCTGCTGGGGACTTTTGTTCATATTACTTGAGATTGAGACATGACTTGAGGCTGTGACTCAAAACAACTAGCGGCAGTGTTGCTCTCAGAAATCATTAATTGTTCTCCAGGACTTTCCCCATCTTTCTGAACAGTTTTGTTTGATGCATGTTTTGTTCTAGTTCCTACACAGCATTCATTTTAAAAGATGTACTTCAGTAGGTTGTGGCCCTGTGCCTGAAAACCGTAGCTTCATTGGCTATGGTGACTGTCAGTTTATGCTAAGTTAAGTCACCTGCTTATGGCAGGAGAAGCCAGGCTTGCTGTAAGCAATGCCTCTGCCTCAGTCATCATTGTTACCTAAATCCTCTTAAACCACTGGCAAGACAAAGACATTTGTTTTTCCCCTTTCATCCACTTTCATCTGTCCCATGGTTCCCATTGAAACACTTTGCTGAGGATTGAATTTGTAGAGTATGGGCAAGCCTCTGTCTTTTGAATGGCAGATTTTTCAGCTTTTTTAATTTTTCACCATATACATATGTGCACATACATATGTGGGTATATGCGCATGTACATATATATTTACTGTTTTATTTGAATACTTGCAAAGCTGGGATTAATGAGATCCTGTCCTAGTCAAATGCATTTCATGCTCATATTCTCAGTTTGGAAAACTATTTTCAGAGAAATATTTTCAAGTACCACTTTACAGTCAGTTGCCACTTGAAAAAAAGCTGGACCCGTTCGTCTTTTTAAGATGTTCTAGTGCTCATTTTTGTGCTTGACCGTGCTACGTGATCTTTGTTTCACTGTGATCTCCTTTTTGCATTAGACCCTGAGCAGAGCAGAGGACTTTCAGTCAGCTGTTCTCAGACTAGCGGGCATTCCCATCATTGCTGAAGTTTACTATATTGTAGGAGGTGTGTCACCCAAAGAAGGCATGGTCATAACAAGGAATAGAAGAGGGCCAGCAGATCTCTGGCCTCTTGATCCTTTAGGTGGAGCGTAAGTATAAAAAAATGGTTTATTTTGTTTTTTCATACTCCCTCCAGAGCAATAGGCAGCATGAGTGACACTACTTTCTTGAGGGGACCCAGGCCTGTCTCTTACTAATGCTTACGGCTGGTCAGGGAAAGCTTGCAAGCCTCTGAAAGGAACTCCAGTTCCTTCTCTTTGAGAAGGAATCACACCACCTTGTCAGGTTGGGGCAGTCCAGAGGGTCAAGGCTGGAAAAAGCATCTGCATGTGTTTATTTTTTAGCCAGATTCCAAAGATGACAAGGCTCGAGGGCTTTTCCTGTCTTTCTGCCAAGTATTGCACCGGTAAACTCAGCACTTCCAAATTAGTTTTGACCTAATGTGGTAGAAAGGTTGAAGGCTCAAAAATAACTGTTCCTATCCAATTTGTGAAATCAGCACCTTAACATATAAAGGAGATCCTAAATAGTTTCCTTGTGGTGAAAAATGGCACTTAATGGCTACAGTCAGCCAGTAAATCCTGGCTTGGCAACAGCCAGGTGGCCTGTTGGCTCTGTGTACTGCTGCAGGCTGTGTCGTATGCATACCCATAAACTTTTTTCTGATCATCTCTTTAAAAGTCTGGTCTTGCTTTTATTGTAGTCAGCAGTAGTTTTGTCACTGACGCCAGCAGGAGTTCAGAGGTGTCTCCTTTTTTGTGTGTGTTCAGTAGTTTCTGGTAAAGGCTGCTATGTATATCAACATAGTGTCCCTTGGGCTTGCAGGAGACACAGGAAGGAGACTTTTGAGGGAGGTTTTTTCCTTTTGGCAATACAGAGATACTGATTCTTGGCCTTTCTTAATTACCTACTGATTCACCTTTTGTTTGCTTTTATGTTTGTGTGTTGTGTTATAGGTGGTTTCGTGTGGAGACAAACTATGACCATTGGACGACCCCTCCTCCTTTTGACGATCGAAGGTAAATTTAGTTTGGAGCTCTGTGGTGAGATAACACTTTTATTTTGAAAACTCTAGGGACTTAGGTGTTTCCTTCTCTGAGCAGGTGTTAGCTTGTTGAGCAGGCAGCTTGTTCAGTTTCTGTAGTGCTGCTCAAAAGGGAACAGATAAGGTAAGGAGCGATATTCACGTATGTCAGAGGAAAGCCAGTGTGGCATTGAGTGGCATAAAAGATGAGAAATTGCAAGGATGTGTGTACCAAAAATGTCTTTACAAGGCAAAGTTTAGTAGAAGTAAAAGGATTTAGATTCACAGTGAAAAAGTATTTGGTGGCACTAGGAAGATGCTTGCAGACATCATACGATCTTTAGGCTGTGCGGTATGCAAAAAGCTGTTGCCAGATGCCCTGTTGGTCTGTACTCAATAGAGTAGTAATGCAATAGCAATGTGAGAGTAGATTCAGCCACACAGAACTCTGTATTTTTTTAGGCCAAAGCAAGCATTTCAATGTAAAGGCATTTAGTGAGAATTTTTTCACATTGGTGCTTTGTCACAGTAAAGTGTGTTTAATGATACTGTGGTTTTTTCCTGCAGAACTGCAGCCATCAAAGCTCTCAATGCTACTGGACAGCAGAACATCAATTTTGATACACTCTTTAAGGTATTTCTTCTAAATTCTGCATTGTGACTTTGACTTAAAAGTTCTCTTTCAAAGCAGAAGTGCAGTTGCATTTTTTTCAGGGATTTAAAAGCTGTGCAAGGAAGGCACAGTGAAAAAGTTGTACTGCACAACTGTCTCTGGAGAGTCCAAGACTGATAAGTTTGTTAGAAAGTTTCTAAACTCCCTTGCATAGGCATTTTGTAATAGTCTGCCAGTCCAAGTGGAAAGCGCAGGTGGTGAATCCCATCACCACCATTTTTGTGCAGTTCCTTATTTCAAGCATGATTATAAATATTACAGCGGGCAGATGAAGTGTTAAACATGAGTGATATTTACCAGTTAGTTTTGAGAACTTAAATGTTGCGTTTTCAGAGGGCTTTTTTAAAATATTTTTGTAAAATGGTCTGATGTTTTAAAAAAACCAACAAAATGAACAACCAGCAAGAGAAATTCTTTACTTTGCATTATTCCTTTTCATAACTTCATCATCCTGCTGTTTCTAAATAGCCTTTTAATTCCCTCTTCATTTACCAAAATGACAACTCTTCAAACTTTCTGTACAGGTGTTGTCAGTGAAGCCAGTCTTAAACAAGTAAGTATTAGATTCAGAGATGTTAATCAGTGCCTCCCACCATGCCTCTGGCCACTTAAAAGTCAATCACAAGCTTCCTTAGGCAGTTCCTATGCATCTGAGTATGTTGCTGTTTCCCAGCTTAGATTCCTGCTTGTGCACATGGCAGTCTGTTTTCAGTTCCACAGCACTCTTCCTCTTTGGTCTGCCGCTCTAGCTGAGAAATGACACTTCGTTAGGCTCAGTCTGGTAATGGGAAGTTCCTTTGTAGTGGTGAAACAAATTGCTGCTTAGGGGAGCAGCTGGACTTTCTGCCAGGTCATTTGTGCCTTTCACTTTTGGAACCTTTGGATTTGTTTGAACACTGCAAATGGCTTTCTCTGGAGTTCCTGATGTAGCTCTGCTTGATGTGTAAAACGGGGGAAAAATAGTAAACAGGAGTACACAGCTTTTAGGTACCATTTACTAGATTTTCAAGAGATTTATTTCAGTATGCCATTGTTGTTCTGCAGTGTTCCACAAGTTGCACCTTTGCAGGTTATTTTGTTTTGTTTTACTTTCAAATGGAGCTCAGTATATTCTCTGGATCAGTCATTCGCATTAGAGCTTAGTAATGGATTCTTCAAAGTTAATATCAGAACTTCCTCTCCTCTTGTCTTTAAAAATTTGAGGAAATTTGGAAAGGAGATTATATTTGTGTCACTGCTAAGATTAGCAATACTGGTTTTTAATACAGTGATAAAATGGATGTACAGTTCCTTTGCTTTACTAAATGGGGGAGAAAATACTAAAAATTTGTGTCAGCAGCCTTCATTTTTATCAGTCTCTTTCCCGCATAGTTTCTAACCCTTCTGTACCTAAGCAGAATGTTTGTTTCCACTCAAATTTGTTCTGCTGCTTTGCTAGTTTTAGAAATTAATCTTCTTGCCTTTGGAATGTCACTCACTTTTTTTCCTCTTTCCCCACCAGTAACACAGTGTATACCACATTAATGAGCGCTGCACTTCCAGATAAGTACCAGACATGGATCAGAACTGCGAAGTGACGAGGTGTAAGTAGCACGCTGGTACTCCTTGCTACTTGTACTTAAATCAAAATTTCAGCTGAAGACTCATTGAGGGACAAAGCCCCGCAGTGGCATTCAAATGACCTAGTCTGAATTCCTCATTCTCCCCTTGGTTTGCCTGTTGACCCTGGGTAAATACCTTCCCTTGTCGTTCTAGAGATAGGGTTAAGTATTGGCTTTCTTTGCAAACCTCTTGGAGATTATCTTAGGAAAAGTGCTTTATCAGAGAGGAAGGGGTGGGTGCTGTTGGAACCTAAAGGTAGAGGTTCCCTCTGTGAACTTTTTAGCTATTTTTTACCAGTCCTGCTACTGCAGTAAGTTTCATGTGTCTCCAGGTGGCTGACTATGACAGGAAGCCCTGCCAGAGTGAACTGAATCCCAGCAGGAGGGCTTGGTGCACTTGGCACCAAGAAAGATCAAGCTTAATTTGTGACAGCCACTTGCAGGCAATGCGACATTAGCATCCTTTGAGGGTTTTGTCCTGTGAACTTGCAGAAAAAGTCAAAAGTGCTTGAACTCACAAGGTGCCTCATGTGGTGTTTTTAATGTGTTTGTAGAAACATACTAAGTTGGGTTGATTTCTCTTCCAAGAAATTCTGGTTGCCTGGTCTTGGCAGGAGCACAAGAAGCTACATTCCAGTCTGAATAGGTTTTTAAACTCTTATTAATATTATATTTGTAGCAGTTACATGGGACAGTTGATTTTGGCAAATGTAATTCCTTTCTTTGAGAGATTCTGAAGTTTGTTTCTTTCTTAGCTCTATGAAACCTGGTGCTCTCTTACTTATCTCTTTATCTTCTTATTTCAACAGACAAAAAGCGTGAAAAGCTGAAGCTTTCCAAGACTGGCATGTGCTTTTAAAACCACTCTCACAAGCAGTACAGTCGTTTTGGCTTATTAAGTACATGAGCCATTCAGGAAATAATGACTTGTTAATTCTTTGAAGTGTTGCAGATGATACTGTTAATTAACTGTAATGCAAGTTTGATTTTATTGTAATTACATTGGTGTTCTAGCAGAGGTTGATGGCTAAAATTTGCTTTTACTGTTTTTGGAAAGAGTTGTGCAACTTGAATGTACTTATGTGCTGACTAATAAAAAAGAATTCATATATTTTGCATGGCCTGTTGGTCTGAATATAATTAAAAATATGCAGCTGATGGCTTGATTTATGAAGACCTGTGCTGTTACTCCTACTGACGTCATCCTTTTCCCTGATCTCTGAGGGGCTTGTGATCATGAGCCTCGGAGGGGCAGATGCAGTAGCTGGCTGCATGCATAGCTGTAGACTATGGTGATTTTATTCATCAGAAATCAGGAGCTGGTTTAGGAGATGCGGTAATACAGATTTTTTACCCCTGGTAGGTGGGAGAAGCTTGTGATGGGATAGCAGTGAGGTTAGAAAAGGGATGGTTTTCCTTCTCTATACTTGAAAGTTGCCTTCAGTAGAAAGTTTACAACTAATTTCTATAGTGCAGACAGGTTTTATTAGTCAGGTTGTGCTGTGACCACATATTGAGTTCAGGCATTTCTTGGGAGCACCCCAGAAATACAGAAGAATTTTAGGAGTCAAGACTGGTGGATACCTTCACATAAAGCTAGAGGTCCCATTCTTCACTGGACAAAATTCCTGCTACTGCCAGTGAGAACTTTACAGGGGAGAAGAAGGTGTGATCAGAGCGTTAGGTCAGAGCACCACTTGCAGATCCATGCAATGTCACCTGCAGTATTTGTGCACCGGTTATGCAAACTGTTCCTGGGAGAGCTTTCTGGAGATGTGGGCCCTTTATCTCCTTGCGCTGAGTCTGGCTGAGTGTCATAACCTACTTACCTGCATCCTCTGCTTCTGCCTGGATAAACGTGCTGCAAGCTTTGCCTTGACCCAGTTTGTACACTGATGGCAGCAGTGGTATGCCAGAATGACAAATTGGAGAAAAAGTGTTGCTGAAGGAATATGTAAATAACAGGGGTCACAATATCTTTTGAGACTTCAGAATGATGTTGCTTGAATTCACAGAGCAGGTGCTGACTACTGATCCCAGCAGGTTTTCTTTATATAACAGCCACCCACAAGTAAAGACAGAAGGATCCTTACAGGTGTAACTTTGCATAGTCTTGACCTCAGCAGTGTTAGGCTGATTATCTTCTGGCAGTGGTGTGCCCGGATTCTCAGTGGCATGTAAATTTAATCAAATGTATTTGTTTCAATGTGTACAAACAGATCTGGAGTGTAAAAATACTTGGTATCCATGAATATTCAGGAAACATTTGCCTGCTCCTGTTGTGTTTGTGTCTCAGCAGCTGTTCAGAACTTGCCCAGGCCCAGCCACACAGCGGATTATGGAAATGTAGGGGGTTTGAGATTTAAACCAGAAAGGAAACTAGTATTTAAGTAGTCTAATTTTATTTTGCCTTTTTTTTCTTTTATTTTCTTTAAAAAAGCCTTGCATTTCATCCATTTATAGTAAACGTTCAGACATCCCAATTGCCAACATAAAAAAGCCTTTATGGCAACTTGAATGCTGTTTTTTGCTAACCAAAAGGATACGTAACTTTCTGCTGTTAGTTTAACGACAAGCTAAAAATACAACCACTATGACATGTCTTACAAACTAGATCATTTACCCTGTGAAATGTCTTGGAGCTCCTTTTGTGTAAGAATTGAAAGTTGATAAATACGTGGAGAGACAGGATTGTTAATGCTTTAACTAAAACCATCTTAACAATGCTGGAAACATTAAAATGTAGTGCTGATCCTTTTTGGAAGGTTTGGGTGTTTTGTGGGATCTTGTTTGTTTTTTTAAAAAAGGAGGAGTGTTTGTAGTTACTTGAATAGCTTGCTGATCTTCCTTCTGTTTGAGATTTCATCGGCTTTGTGTGTCTGCTTTTTAGGGACTGGCAAGCAAAATAGCTTTTCTGCTTTTTCAAGCCCAGTAAGATTCATGACTGAGAATTGTTAAGTAATTAAATAGAACTAAGTTAAATACATTATCCTTGCTTCCTCCATCCTTTTGTTTCTGCCATACAGATTCCCTAGCTGCAAAGCCCAAAAGATTTTTCAGCCCAACACAGGCAATGGGTGAAACCTTTACTTCTTTTTTCCTCCAGAAGTGTGCATTTAGCACAAGGCAACTTGAAAGTGTGTAAGAGCTGACTCTTAAGATGAGAGAGGCTAACGTACCGTATTTCTCATTCATAATCCCCTTCAGTAATCCTAATCCATTTCAGATCTGTAGCCTTTCTTAAGCATCACATGGGAGAGGATTCTTAAGGCTGCTCAAAACAACTGTGCAGTAAATAAACCAAAGGGACGGCCCTTGTCCCAGAACAGCACACGCGTTCTGCGTGGCAGGCGCTGAAAAACATGGCACTTTCTGCTGTGTGCCCAAGGGAACAGCTGACTTGGTTATTTAGATTCTGAGGAGGAGTTTCTGAATCTGTAATCAAGCAAACCACTTCAGAGACTATTGATTTGGGTACTGAATAGAAACAAACATTTTAAAAGTGGAGAGCTTCTATTGATTGATCTTAATAAATCCGTAAGTTAGAAATTGGGGACAAGGTAAGTTGCGTTTTTCTTTTCGTTTCTATGTAATGACGTTTTGTGTTCAGAAGTAGTTACTCGGCACCCGTAGTTTGAGGTGAAATGTCCTTTTTATACTTCAAGCTGTATAAAACTGCTGTTGAGAGTTTTCTATCTTAAATTGTCATTTTGGCACTGCAGTAACTGGGCAGGTACAGAGGTCAGTGCATGTGTAAAATAAAACAACCTTCAGCATCTTGTTTCCGGCTATGAGAGAGACGTGCTGAGTCTGATGTACACGTGGGGCATGCATGGATATTTACTCTAGGAAGGCAAGGCAGGATCACTTTCCCTAGTGCTAGCCAGCATTTTTATTCTTGGGAGAAATATTTAATTTTGTTTTAATTTATTGGTAGCTTTTAAACAAGCTGTTGCTGTTTTTCTTTTAGCAGAACCTAAAATTTCTCTTTCCTTCCAACGTATCTTCTGAGTTTTTTCTTAGTAAATTTTCAGCAAGTCTGTTGTATTCTCTTGTTGCATTCCATATTCTGCTTATCTCTTCCCTCAGTTGTTCAAATGTCTATAAAATTGTCAAGTTCGTGGGGATTCGGTTGTGCACGTGATACGTGAAGTGTGTCATCTTTCCTAGGAGCCCTGTTGTTTTGGAGTTAGCTTTACATTAGCTTCCGTGTTCCTTGCAGGAAGCCTTTGATATCCATTCATGTGCGTGGAGCACCAAATTCTGCACAGATCTGTAATGTTGACAAGCTCAGTGGTGTGACAGTGTAGGATTTGACTTAAAATGCCGTCCCTCGCTTTGGTTTTGAAGGAGTTACAATAACATTTACTGTAAGCCAGGAAATTTACTTAGGCTTTTGTTGGTCTTGATACAAATGGATTTGTGCAAGTTTTCCTTTATGAGTTTTACGTGGTATTGTAGGGTAGTATTAACTGAATCGGCAGCGTGTGTTTTAAGTGCTGCAAAAACGAGTGTATGATCTGTTAGCTTGGGAGGCGTATGTGGAGCGTGGCTGTGAGATGTTCCTCCTGCCCTTAGAATGCTACCTCCAGTGACCGAACAGGGAACATGCACCTTTTCTACACGTCTGTGGTCCTCTACGGAGGCACTGAACCTTGTTCTGTTCGTTGTCGCTGTCCATGTGTGGCTCTTGAGTCCCTGCTTTTTTTGGTGGTGGTTTAGTTCTGCCCTGGTGTAAGTGCATAGAGCAGGTTTTATCACCTCACCTTACTTAGCACGCATGTGTGCTGGCAGATGCTCTAAGCAGCAGCGTATACCAGGGGACAGCCTCATACGAACGTATTGCAGCTTCTCAGAAGGAGTGGGAAAGCCTGTTTGTAGAGGCCCTCTAGCTGCACCAGAGAAAATGTAAACACCTCTGCAGGAGGGGAATGGTGGCCAAGAGCAAGATGAGAAAGGAGTGGTCTGTAGCCCGCTGCTTCCTAGCTGCATCGTTTTGTCTCACCTGGTTGTTTAATACAGCCGGTATTTGAGGTGGTGGCACTTCTCATCTTCAGGCTGTGTCTTTATGGGCCCCTGTTCTTCTTTTTCTTGGGTACAGGATTTTAGGAAGGGGAGGGGTGGATGAGGAAGGATCAGAGGTGCTGAGCAGTTGGACTGGCTCTATTTCTTCCTCACCTTTTGCACCCTTGAAACAGTTTTGATTCCGTCTGAGTCTCTGATTTCCTGCTGTGCACTCCTTTGCTCAGGCTTTGCTCAGGCGAATTTGAGCATAACAAAGTTCGCAGCTCCAGGAATTTCTTTGGAGATACCTGTTGACAAGACAGTTCACGATAAGATAAATAGGTGGGTACTGTTGCCTGTGCTTGTTCTCTGCAGGTACTCCTAGGGCACGCTAATAGTAGACCACCCCTCGGTACGGATGGTGGTAAAGTAGGGCTGTCCAAATGACACATGCTTGTTTGTTTTGCA